ATACCTTTCTAATCCTGAAAATTTTGTGAAATTCAATTAAAGAAAATCAAACACCTTCACAACTTTCTCTGGGGTACCACAGAGGTCAATACTTGGTCCTTTGGTTTTGTTATGTTTGTCAATGACATATCTGATCGCATAAGGTATTCAAAATGTGTGTTATATGCTGATGATCTAAAGATTTACAGACTCATTGATTATTTTGAGGAAACTAATTTTTTTCAAAATGATATTAATTAGAGCTCAATTTTTTGTAGAGATGATGATTTGGCATTGCATATATCTAAGTGTAGAATAATAACCTTCACCAGTGAAAGAAACCCCATCAAGTGAACATAAAAGTGCTAACTGGAGCTTGTTAATGGCTAGACAACCTACATTGCCTAGCTCTCTTAAGATTGTATTTTGGAATGCCAATAGTATTTCAAACAAGAAACATGACTTTGAGAACTTCCTGAACAGAACATAACATCGATGTTGACCTTGTTCCTTCCTCAAGTACAATTCGGCATTGACTCGGATCATGTAACTACATGGCACGGAAGTCGTGGCGTTGAACTCCAACTGAGAAGAGGTCCTCATAGACTAATCTCAGTTTACAACCCTCCGCGGAATCGTCCACCCCAGAATCACTGGATTAACTGCTGATGCACAAATATCCCCACAGTTGCTGCTGGTGACTTCAACGCCAAGCACAATCTGTGGAGCAGACTCACCAATGCGAATGGCCGAGCGCTCCATGCGCATGCTGACAGGCATGAGTATCGAGTGATGGGTCCAGATGAGCCTACGTTTTATCGTGGGGATAAGAGACCTGACGTTCTTGATATCGCACTCCTCAGGAACGTCTCCATGTCCTGCGAAGTGTACACTTTGTCGGAACTTGACTCAGATCATAATCCAGTCATCCTGATGCTGGGTGATGATCCCCCTCCCCAGGATTATCGCATGAGATCATCCACGGATTGGGAAGCCTTCAAGGCCCACCTAGTGGAGACGAGCACAGACCGTGAGGCACTTCAAACTCGCAACGGTCTCGAAGCAGCGGTGGCGGATTTCAAATTGTCTGTGAACAACGCTTTCCGCGCAGCCACAACCAGGACAGAGTGTTCTCTGCGAAGCTACAATGAGTTTCCTCACAGGGCAAAAAACCTTGTCCGGGAGAGAAATCAACTCAGACGAGTTTATCAGCGGACTCTCTACCCTGGAGTAATCCGCAGGCTCGAGAAGAGGAAAACCGCTACCTCCCCTCTTCACGGACAGCGCGGCATCTGCTACTCTCCCGCCGAGAAGGAGTTGGCCTGTGCAGATCCAATGGAGAGTCAGTTTCGACTTAACGTTGATCCAGATGATGATATTGACCGTGATATCCGGCTGGAACACCGGGTGCGGCGCATCCTTAGGGAAAAGGATGACGACGTGATCCGTCCAGCTTCGGAGGAAGAACTGAGAGGGTACATTAGAGCCTCCAAACCTAAGAAGGCTCCGGGAATTGATTCTATCAACAATAAGTTTTTGAAGCAGCTCCTGGAGAACTTCATCAGATACCTGCTGGATATAATCAACAGCTCAATCGCCCTCANTCTTTTTCATTTGATTTTCCGCTTTTCTGTAGACTCCTTGCCATGAGTCCCCTGAGAAGATAATGACCGTATCGTCAGCGTAGGATATAATATGTCCCTGAAAGTTTTTAATTTTACTAATACTATTTATGTATACCAAGAATAGAATAGGTCCTAATACAGTACCCTGTGGTACACCGGCGGTAATTGTTGAGAAATCACTAAGTTCTTCGTTTATCTTTACTCTTTGTGTTCTCTCTGATAGATAGTCTCGAAGTAAATCAAGTGTCAAACCCCGAACTCCATACCTATATAGCTTATGCAAGAGAATTTCGTGGGAAACGGTGTCAAAGGCTTTGGCAAGGTCAAGAAAAATGGCTATGCATCTGTCCGATCTGTCCAGTGCCTCCACGCCGTTCCTCACGAAGTCTAGAACAGCATTTTCCGTATTTGATTTTTTTATGAATCCGTATTGACTATCGGTTAATACATCATTTGCATCGAAAAAGTTGATAAGCCTTCTTTTAATACTGTGCTCAAAGATTTTTGTGAAAGTATTTATTACAGAGATTGGCCTATAATTGCCCGGTAATCCTCGATCTCCTGCCTTATATACGGGTGTGATAATAGCCTGTTTCCATTGCTTAGGGATTTTTCCTTTTGCATAACATAGGTTTATTAAATATTCCATTGGTTTAATAATATGCAAATGTATGGACTTTACAGTTTGTGTGTTTATTTTATCCGGTCCAGGAGAGCAATTATTTTTTAATTTAGATATAATATCTATCAGTTCGTTGCATGTTACTGGATTTAAAAAAAGTGTTTTGTTCAAAAAAGTATCCTCCACGAGATCTTCAGATGCAATGTCAGGCTTTTCAATATTTTCCGACATTTTATCGGATTTTCATCAAGTATCGGCCAGTTCTATTCAATTAAAATAAGATTCTACTATACAATACGATGTTCAAGCCTGTCATCATGTATGCTACAAGCGCCTGGGGACAAACCGCTTCGTCAAATCTTTCCATTTTGGAAAGACTGCAAAACAAACTTATTAGGATACTGGTGAATGCTCCATGGTTCGTGCGGAATGAGGCCATCCGCAGAGATTTGAAGCTGTTAACTATACGGCAGCCCATTCAGTCGAGGAATCAGAGAGTTTTCGAGTCAGTGGAAACTCATGATAACCCATTAGTTAGGGAAGCTGTAGATTATACTGTACTGTAGATTATAGACGACCCCTCCCGATACAGAAGGCCCCGTCGCTCGGTTGAGTGAAGACCCCACGAGGTCTGTTAAAATAAACAGTTTGTTCATCAAATACCCCAGTCAGGAAAAGGTACACAAGGCCAAGACGGCATAGAGGTCATTGATCTTTATGTCGTCACCAAAAAACACCTTCAGTTATGAACCACTCGTCCTCCTGACGAAAGACAGTTAAAAGGGTTAGGGAAAAAATTTCCAACCTGAAGAAAATGAAGATGACATATGCACTGTATGTGATATGGGTATAGGAGGTTTCTTTTTAGAACTGTCCCTACGGTTTTTGGGCTTACTTCCAGTTGCAGTGCAATGTTTCTGGTACTATTCGAAGGATTTTCTTGTATTGCATCGAGTATAGCTTCTTCTAGTTCAGGCGTTGTTACAGTTTCTGGTCTTCCACCACCTGTATTTTTATTAAAACTCCCAGTTTCACAAAATCTTGCATATAGCATTCTACTCTGTTAAGATATCTGTCCTGGAAAATTATCTGTGCTTCTTCCGCATTTCCATTTGCTAAACCACAAATAAATTGTACGTCAGCCATTTTAGCGTTAGTAACATTATTCATGATGGAATAACTGCTAATTGAAAAATCTGACTTTCACTGATATGACAACACATCACTGTCAGCGGTCTTCAAAGAAGTTGTTCATGATTTGGAAAGTGGCAACCTTCTATTTTTCTCGAAAACGAAGCTCTGGATATGAAGAAAACACAAGCGATGAAAAAATTATACTTTTAGTTGAATAATCTCTAAAAATAAAAAATTATGTAGCGTACTTTTTGGCTGTGGTGCCCACTGAGACTCCCCTGGACCTAATAATTTCAATCTGGTTAGGGCTAAATAAGCCCCTTATTACTTACTTCAAATAACTTCAGCAAATCTCAACCAAATCGTTGTAAGGATATTTTGTAACTACCGTTTTTTTAACTTTCAACGCCCTGTATTTCAGAAACGATTTTTTTTTCTTAAAACGACCTAACAAATCCGTACCGTAGTTAGGAAACACCATGTATATAAACTTAGGTTTTATTTATTACATTTAAAAATGCAGTTTGAACGTCCGCTTTTGCTATATACAACTCAAGGTTTGAGTGTATCATTTGATTTTATTCGATATATCCATTTCACTTCAACTATTTCTTCATCTTTTGGTGTATTGATTATCGTCCAGGTATTATTTTCTTCGAGGTTTTTGATTTCGTCTTTCATTGCTGTAGGTAATCCAATTTTTTGATTCCAGGCAGTTTACTGCTTATTCGTAATTTGCTGCAAGGTATCGGTATGTTTGAATAATGTATATACCTACACTGCATTAATAATTATATATATATANTCTTTTTACAATTTCAGTGTTTCGCCCGTCCTCAATTTTATCATGTTCTCGACTCAGTCTAATGCATTTTTTCAACACGCTTTTATTAGCTTCACCTTTATGTATGGATGTAGGTTTGTTTGTTTGTAACTTTCAAGTTTGGGGTCTGTTTTGACAGAAATATCGACATTATTTGTAACCCTTCTTTTCGCGCCTGCTGCCTTGGGCTTGGTGGCTGATTTTCAGACTCCCCCTCCGGAATCGGAAAATATCAATGGTGATTTTTCTGAACTATATACGGCTGATTGATCCCAAAGGTTAGTATTTTAAAATACTGACCGAACTAATCGACTTGTGTTACGTTGACAAAAGTGCACTGGTTCAAATGGCGCTTATTTTGCTTAAATTGGATTAGTATTCACTAAAATATTGCAGTTTAAAGTAGACTCATAAAAATTGACAAAACTTTTGAACCTGCTTGAAACCAAGATGGCTGTCGAATAAGTCCAGTTATCACCCGAATAAGACGATTGTGGATACTAACAATCGAAACGTCGTGAAGTAGCTTGGCTTAAGACATTTTCCCACCAAATCTGTCAATAAAAAATCTCAATCCGCCTCTGGTATCCACCAACTGATTAACTAAATTCCAATTCCAATTTCACAATGCTGGGTAAAATTCAAGATGTTTTTATTATTTTTATTTTTTTCGAATCTGGTAGGTCTTTTATTAAGCAGTTTTCTTAGGTTATCAAGCCACCTAACAGCTAACGACCGAACAAAGATAATTTATTATAAAGCCCAGTATGATATGATGTCTACAACAGCGATAACGTAGATTGCTGGCGGAAATACGTATTATTTACGGTATTGGTGTCCTCGGGACGTAGGAAAGCAAAGGGAGATTTCAATATGCGCGCGCTTAGTTTGGCCATTTTGTCACTTATTAACCTTTAGTTGTGGCACTTTCCCATAAATAATGTCCATCCTAATTTAATTATTACCTTAATCATTCAGGTAAATGACAAAAGTTTCAATGTGGTGGAAGAGTGAGTACTTAGTTAACAGATGAATGTACCTGACCGACGGCAGCCATACGAAAGTTACGTGTACTATTTGGGAAGCGAAAGCATTTGCCGCCGGAAGGTTTGTTGTAGTCGAAGTATCCATACAGTTTTATTTTCATCAGTGAATCAACGCGTCGAAGTTCCTGAGTGTTTGTTAAGTTCGGTCAGTTGGTGTATTAATCATTAGTGCTATAATTTCCGTAAAATACGTTGTGATGTGAATGGAAAAGACAATAATATGTGTACGTTTTACTCGCCCCAAGATGGCTGCCGACGGAATTTATTTTACGTATTTACTATAACTGATAGCAATCTAGCTTCAATTTCGACAAGTTCACGATAGTTTCTGGACAATTTATTGCTTGTCGGTTGAGGGCGTCCTTTTTTGAAGTTTGTTTTATCAAAATTGAATCGCATTTAACAAAATTTATAGAATTGGTATCGTCTCCCGCCGGAACCTGTATCAACTGCGTTAATGTTCACCTAGTTTAAAAGTGAAACGAACGTTTTTTGACGTTTTAATTGAAATTTTGAGGTATGTGTGAACCAGAGGAAGTATCTCAGGAAGTTTGGTCTTCTTGGATTTTAGACGCAATAAGAAAAATACGTTCTCAAAAACAGCGACCTAGTGTAGAAAGAATATGTCATGCTATCAGACAACATCATAATAATTATCATGAAGATGTAATTGGAGAACACTTGGAAATTGCAGTGAAAGAAGGGTCAGTCTTGAAAGTATTCAATAAAGGACAGAGTTCGTATAAAGACCCTGGTGGTTTGCAAAATAGAACTCTGAAAATAGAACAGGGTGCTGATTTAACGAAAGTTGTGACCAAGGCAGTTCGGGAGTTGGGTGAACGAGATGGCTCTTCCTTAAAATCAATTGAGAAATATATAAGACAATCTCACAATGTATTGGAGAGCCCTGAAAATGACTTAAAAGGGGCAATTCGTACGTCCGTTAAGCGCGCTGTTAGTAGAAATTATGTCATCCAAGATGGTAAAAATTTCAAATACAATTATAACCATCAGAGTCCCAGCGTCAAGAAGAAAGATACACCCAAGAGGCTGTCGCAGCATGTGGATGATCTTAACACACTTCCCAAGGTAAGACTATCCATAACGTATGTCCTGATCTTTTGATAGTATTTCAATTTCGAACCATTACATTGTACCAAAAGCATATTTGATATGCAAGTTGCTTGCTTTCGAAAGCACAGTACGAACTACACAGCACCTCATTTTTTCTATTCTTTCAAAATGCTCACAGTTGCTTCCAAAGTTGTGAATAAATTATTTTTCTTCCTGGTTATATTTTTTCATCGAATTGAGGAAAAACTAAGAGTTTTTTCACATCATTAATATATTTTTCCCAAATCAATGTCTGCTCACTTACTTGTTAATGATTTAACTGTGAAACATTTTTCAACACACTAATTTGGTCACAAATTCCAGAATTTGAAATTGGATAGGATACATTGATTTGTAATCTAGATAGATAACTGTCAAATAACCTTTTTTCAGTACTCATTGATTTCCAATTAAATTTTTAGATAGACCATTCAGATTATCGAATAAGAGAAACCACTCAGACATAAATGAGATCAATAATACCCCAGTATCAGTGTCTAGATAATGAAGACGATATTGCAACTGCATTTGTTGATTATTTCAAGTCTGCCTACACTGATAGTCCCCCATCACGAGCTGATCTGCATTACAAGAATTATGACTTAGATCCTTTCAACATTTCTAATAATAGTATTTTTTGTAAATCTGGCAAACACTTTTAAGTATGAAAATACAAGTAACAGTGAGATTTTTTTCTCAAAACTAATAGTATGTACATTGAAAAAAAAATAGCAACACTTATTTTAGGCCCTTGGAGTTCTGTTTTTTAATAAACTACAAAAATCGTTGTATCTAATGATTGGCAAATAAACTTTGACCTAGGATTGTATTTATTCATTGCACAGGAACACCCCTTTTATAATAGTACTAGCATCAAATATAATAAATATTCCTATACAATTTAAAAATTAAAGAAAATACTAATAATGTTAAAGTGAGACTTGAAGTAAAATCAAGCACATGAAAATTAGTAAAATCCCTGCGATAAACAGAATTGAAAATTAAACAATCAAAATACAGACATTAATAACGGAAATATTTTTTTTATATATATCTTG